TAATTGTTTATTTTACCGCCAATAACGCACGTTATTAAGTTATTCTGATATCTGTACATATGAAAGTATACGTCACCAGTTCTTTCGAATTTTTTTAAGGTATGAGTATTATTATTAATTCTGTCGTCCAATTTATATATTTTGCTCTTCTTGAATGTCCTTCCATTTGCAGTACATAACAAAATCAGTATATTCCACCTCCTTCTTCAATACTTTAATTGACTGGAAATGGGCGAGTGGGATTTGTTCAACATTGAATTCACACGATTATTCCATCCCTTAACGAAGTTATTCAGTTCTATGGCACTTCTGGTAACAGTTCCACATTTTATTCGCAAAAAATTCCTAGTGGGGGGAGCTCTAGTTCTTTTTAGTTGCAAAATACTAAGATTCTTCCTGTTTCACAGTTTTCATCCAGAATTAGAAATGTATACTATCGTTGATATTGATTAATTCTTCGGGAATTGAAATTTGTTTTGGTATTCAATGAAGATACATTCGTGACGAATTTATAACCCTAATCAATTTAATTAAATTAATTAATTTTGACTATTTCCGAATACTGTCTTTGTAACTTAGCATATTGTTTCAATCAATAAATCACATAGTTTTTAATAAATATACATGAATTTTATTATAATGATTTACAATAGAATTTGACAGCTGAACTAGAAACCCAATTGAACCGTTTCTATAACAAAAGATCTACAAAGCAAATCTACAACTTGAAACACACCTAAATGTTTTAGTTAGAACGTCATTTGTTTCTATATGAAGTCCTACTTCTTAGGATACTAATTGCTCTTTACGACTGCACAAAGCGTTATAATGGTTATGTATGCATTCCTTTGATGGCCCTAATTAAATAAATTCGGCTTTTGTACTAAAGGTTAATTTTGCATTATCTGCACAACAAGGGTTTCAAAAGACCACAATCCTAAACAAACAATATGAAATCCTTGGGACATTTCAACCACTGCCGTAGCTGAGTGAGTGCTTCTAAATAAAATAAACTTCGCACACATTGCCAATAAACTGCGACCCTAAACATAAATTTAAAGATAAACAGTACATGAGGCAATGGAAACACAGATATAACAAAATAAATAACGGAGATGTACGTGTGTACCTGAAACCCGTGTACGTTATTAAAACACTGTATGGTGGCATAGAAAATCAAGCTCACGTTTCAGATGAAAGTAAGTTCTTTACAATAAGTAGAAATAACTGCATGCTCGTGTCTGTTTGAAGCTTCATATTTCCCGTTTTATGCATTGGAAGGATTGTTCTCCTGCGTCAGAAAAAGTAATTAATTGGGAGTGTAGTCGCGTAATTCAGTGTTCATTGAAAAAACTCATTTATTTACTGATACCTATGTATCATAGTTAGGTAAATAACCATAAAAGTTTTGGATCTTGTTATATTTACACTACTGGCAATTAAGAACAGATAGAATGGTGCATCTCGTATTAACAGAATAAACATTATAAATTTTAAAAGTAATTCTATTTACTTTTTCGTGGGTAGAGATTATTGTAAATATCAGTTTCGATAGTTAGTAGTTACTCTTTCTATCCGCCATAGTGCCAATTTGTAAATTTTTAACGCGATTTGACCTAGAGACACAATCTCCCGTTGCTTCCCAACTTCCCAAGTTCGCTCCTCCACTAGAAGCTAGAACACAGGTTCCTTCCCCTTCCCCCTCTCAGATCCTACTCAGTATCTCAAATTCCATTCATGTTCCCCACGAGCTTCTCCCAAGATCCGTTGAAATATCTCTCCAGTTCCTCACATATTTTTGAGAAGTTTTAATACAAATTTTCTAAGGTCTCTTTCTGAAATTACGTTTGCGTGGACTTCTCAATCTTTTCTTCAAGTTTCTCCACGATCACCTATAAAATTATTTCCAAGTTCTTTCAAAATTCTCTCTTCACGTTGCCTTTAAGTTTCTCTCGATTTCTTCTTAAGTGTCTCTCCAATTCATCTCATTCAAGTTTTTATCAAATATTTTCGACTTATTCTCAAATTTCCTTAAGTTCCCTTCAAGCGTTGCTCAATTTCTTTTTCAGCACCTCTTAAGATTCTGCGAAGTTCTCTTCTCAAGTTGTTACCCATGTTCTTAAATCTCCCTTAATTAGCCTCGTCAGGATTTCTTTCCAGTTCCCTTCAAGTTCTATAATAGGAGGGCATAAGGGTAGAACGTTTGTATAACAATTGGACTAATTTCAACCTTTCATTTTGCCTTTACGTTTATTAATTACCTAAACACATCTTAATCGCACATAGAGTTGCGTGTTACGTCATTTAAAAGTTTATTTAATTCTCTAACCGCAACTGACTCTAATTTTGTTTCCTTGGTCTTGATTCAATAGAAAATATGATTATCTGAATAGTCTTCGAATTAATAAAATGTACTTAATAAGCTTTTGTAAGCATCGACAAGGACGCCATTTAAATTTTGCTACCCCATCTATGGGGATGAGATGAATAGTTTTCGAGTGATTTTTTGTAAATTTTTCGGACAGCTTGTAAAATTTTAGACAGTAGTTGGTTATATCATATAACGTCTTTCGCTATAAAAACCGGTGCACGTCATTGATTTATGAATCAATTTCAGACAAGTTTTCTATAGATTTCGCACACTTGTTTTTTTTTTGTACATGTTGCAGTGTTGCAGCATATGTCTAAAATTGATACACAAATCAATGACGTGCAACGGTTTCTATAGCGAAAGACGTATAGATGTATAATATGTACATTGTACAGGGTGTAAATCGAAAAGTGGAACATAGGCGTTTAACATGGGAAATTACTTTTTCTTTTCGCAAACGTTTCCTAATTATTTTACGCAAAAATACTTCAAATAAAAGTTATAGAGATATAAATTCTGCATCTAAATCATGTGAAACGATCATTCTACCTCTTCTTGTACGCGAAAAAATTAATTATAAAGATTCTGTTTTCACGAGTTTTTAGTCTAAGTAGCCATGGACTATGATAAAAGAAAAACATAGTTCATGGATACTTAGACTAAAAACTCGTGAAAACAGAATCTGTTCTTCCTTGGGAGATGATATACACAATACTGAAAATAGAATTGGAAAATTTAACACCGTTCGCAAGTTATCATCGTACACAAGTGAGCGGTGTTATCATGTAAACCGACGGACGGACAGAAAGTCCAAATGACTAAAATTTAATCAGTGAGTCCCTGACCATTGTTTACCTGTTACTGAAAACAGAATTAGAAAATTCGAAACCGTTCGCGAGTTATCATGTACACAGGTGGACGTACAGTAGGTCCAAAATCACGAACGCATTTGTTCATAACAATGAAACGGTCGAAATAACCACAGCACATTAGATTTCCGTCAAGTTAAAAACGTCAAGAATATGTTTTCTTCTCTGATACAGAATATTGTAGTATACATTATATTGTTTAAAAAGTGCATTTGACATGATTTTCCCTTGTGCAGACCGAATTGAATGAACATTTACGCTGCCGTCTTTAGTAGAGGGATAGGTAATTAAATACTTTGTTATACGTGTCAAAAGTTACGCATGAAAAAAAAAGTGCGAGAGCGACGGCTTTACCATTTCCTTAGTTTTCCTTTTTCCGACAACACAAATTGAAATGTTATTTTGTGAATGTATAATTAATTCAAAATATTTTACCGTCTTCAAGGCGCCACTTTCGTTGGAATTGCGTGAAGCACAATTCCTAGTTGCGAATTATTTAAGATACTAGGGGCGAAATTCGCTCCGTCAGACAGGTTGAAATAGGGAAGATGCAAATATCAAACAAAAAAAGACCTTCACCTTTCTGAAAACTCAAGTTTACCTATCCGAGCGTATTTGGAATTATATTCATTTGGAAGAAAGTAAATTCAGGCGAAAACTGCGGCAGCATGTGCGGACAATTTTACCAAAACTTTCGTTACATAGATTAACTTGCAAAACGATATTTCAGTGAAGACGCTTTGAAGATTTTGGGTGTAGAGTTTTCCGCCTTACAGCGTTAAGATTACTCTTACACCAAATCGTTGAGTGGAAAGACATAATAGCATATTTTCAGGTATAAACCTGTATCTTTCACGTCAGATTACAGGTACGTCAAATACAGTTTCCTCATTAATTTAAAATTAATATTTTGTCAACAACATTTTTAATTTCATCTGAGATCTACTGTCAATTGCCTCTTTCCGCTTATATAACACACGCGTTTTAGATTATAAAAATAATAAAATCGCCTATAATACAGCAATTTCTTTAAGAGTTTCTGCATTGCTTATTTACCACAATTCTTTGTACACTGCACATTCGACTATAGAATTATTATAGAATCCTAATTGGATATCAATTTGTGCATTGTATTGTAGTTTGTAGTCGCTACAGTTGAGTTACCGAATATTATTATTCCTTTAACATTTCAATGCTTTCACCGATTCCAGACATCAGATGTTTAGATTCAGAACTACAATATTATTCAATTTCAAAAAGCGTACAATTACTATTGATTAATGTGAGTCAGCAGCATGTTCATGCTGGAATAAGGAGTTTATATTTGAACTCCGATCAATAATGACTAATGAGGTACCTATACTATTCGATGCAGAGACCAGCACAAATTTAGATATACTCGTACGCTCTAATACTTCTCATGTTTGTTCATAAGGTGTTAATCGTTCTAAATGACTATGGTTCTGATGTATTTACCTACAGTAGTTTTATTTTATCTTTATATTGTTTTTATAGACTTCTCGCCATGACACACCAATATCGCTTAGATGGATGGTTCTAGGTAAATTCCTCGAATGCAATTGCTCGAAAGCCAATTGCTCGAGATCAATTGCTCGAAAGTAAGTTGCTCGAATGAAATTTTGCTCGAATTGTAAGTTGCTCGAACAGCAATTCCTCGAATATCTTTTACTCGAAAGATAAAGTTGTGAGATAGCCTTAACTCGAATCATTGATTTGTAAATATAAGAAAACCACAAACAACCAAGTAATGCTTATATTGCTAAATATAGGAATGTGATACAGTTAGGAAGGTACATATTATGAAAAACAAAAATTACATGTTGTCAATATGATATATTATGTGCTATTCCACGAACATAATCATATATATTTATGTCAGGTGCATAACTATTTACTAGTGTTAAAAGTCTTTGTGCACAATCACGGTATTCCTTACGACTGATGGTAGGTGGTTGCCCGCTGATATGTTGCTCTATTCGTAATTCGTTTATACTCTGCTCCCTCTTTAATGCCGAAATAAATTTCCAGATGTTTGGGTGGTCTGCACACAGTTGCATTTGGAAAGCTCGATGCCATCCCTCCACTGCGTTGTTTGTTTTTGGAAGTCCATGTTGTACGGCATCGAAACAATTCCACATGTTGATCGCGAAATGGGGCGGGCGCCGTCCACGTCGTTGAGGGCGACCGATCCACGTGTCTTCGAAATAATCAACAATAACTTGCAGTTCAGGAGAAAAAATGTTTTGCTCGCAAATGTCTTCAAAAGCAGGAATTACATCTTGAGGTGGAACGAATGCCAAGGCTGGAAGCAGTTTTAATGTCAACGCAACTTCTGGATTTCTCTCGTACTCCCGTTTTAAGCCATTTTCCTGAATGTGTCGGAAAATACTTTGACAGAGGTGAAAGAAGCATCCACGATGTATGGTTTGCGGGAACTCAATTCTTATGGCATTTATCATTGCTACTTCGAAATCTGTCATGATGGTCTGTGGTTGTGCATCATCAGCTGGAAGTAGGTTTTTTATTTCTCGAAGAAGATTTAAGTAGGTTTGCTCTGTCTTATTTGGTAGAAGAGCATATATTAAAGGGATAGCTACATGGTCTTTTATCCCGTGGATGGTATAGAGCTGTAGAAAAAGCGGTGGAACTACTTTGAATGTGCCGTCGGCATACCAATGCTGGGACATCGCCAGAAGGTTGATGTTACGTGCGGTTGAAAAAATCAGAATTCTGTCATTTACTGGCCCTGAATCGTGCAGGAGAAAAAGTTCGCCGTTTGTGGTAATTGTAAACTCTTCTGGGAAAATGATCTCCTCCCGATGTCTTGGTATGGCCGGTGCAACGTTTTCTCTCACTCTGACGTTCCTAATGGTCCGCTTAATATTGTTGACTGTTGGTAATTTAGCTGCAACTGCATTTCCCAAACCAGCAGAAGCTTGGGACACAATGAACTGAGGTGTATCTCTTGTGTTTTCTGCGTCTTCCTTTATTTTCTGCATGACCTTATTGGCTTCCAGCTGCGCTGCGTCGGCATTGTGGTTGTGGTCGTTATTGCTTGACGACACAAAGTTATTCACCGTAATCACACGAGCTTTGCACTTCATTTTCTTGGAGTGCTCGCACTTCCAATAAATTTTGGTATCAACTTGTTTATCCTTGATAAACAAAAAACTTTCGAAAAACAACTTGGATTTCCCTTTCTCACTGGACACGAACTCTAACGCCATGTTCACTTGTGAGCTTTCAAATTTTGAACTAACAAACGTTTTTGGGTTACTAGGCTATTTATAGGGAATTTCTCCTTCCAAATTTCATTGTAAGCATTCTGATGTTAATCACCTATTAGGAATAACCATCATTTCTAATAACAACCATCTCATTAACCTAAGGATAATTACGGAGCAATTATTATACACTCTAATGAAAACCCTAATGCAGATTAACATAATGAAATCATTCGTGAGAAGATGAATAATCATTAATTACATTTAACTGATCATGACTTGCTTTCTCCAAGAAAACCTTATTATGGTGCATACCTCATATTACATAATATATTGAATGACTTTCACCAATATGGACACTTGTTTTTTTAATTTTTAAAACCCAAGAACCCAAATCAACAATATAATATGTTCTCACTTTTTATGTTCAGGTTATTTTCATTATCATGACCACACTACTGAACGGATGTGAAGTACATCTCTTTAGGTATAAGCATAGTATAGGCAAAACGTATGGAAGACCTTTCACTTGATCACGCATGCATAAATTTAAGTTAATTGCGAACTTAATTCGAGCAAACCGTTTTCGAGCAATTGCCGTTCGAGGAATTTGTAATTCGAGAAAATTGACTTTCGAGCAATTGATTTTCGAGCAAATGATTTCGAGCAATTGATTTCGAGCAATTGCATTCGAGGAACTTGTCGGCACCGGAATGGATAGAGAGGGGGACAATTTTGGCGCTGATCATATTACACAATGTAGAATCATTAAATAATTTGGAACACACTGATCCCTATTCTATAAGGTATCTACATAAGTATATAGATATAAGTATATCTACGTTTGTCTCAGTTTCCGACACTTTTTTCTGCTCCGCGTATATATATTAAATATACAGGGTGACAATTTGAAAACTTACCACCCCCCATATCTTAGTAAATAAACGAGATATTTAAAAAAATCAAAATCCATTTCGGTAATTCGGAGGGGGAATCACAATGACATAGTTGGCGACGCACCCCCTCCAACCCCCTGCGCCCCAGCCACCCCAACTTTTAAATCTTAAATAGTGACCCCCATGTGTGATCGTCGTTGGAAAGCTCTGAAAAAATGCTTTCCAACCATACCAAATAGCATTACATTTAGGTTAGTAATTATCGTGCAAATCAAAAAATAAACTAATATGATACACTTGAATTCTGTCGTATTTAAAACGCAACCGGCGAACATAGACGAACTAAGACAGAGAATAATTCAAGAATGTCGAAATATTGCAAAACCAACATAGGAAAGGTTCGACAAGAGTTTGAGGATAGATTATAACTGGCGATCGAAAATGAGTTGCTATCGAGTCGGCTTTGGAAGTTCAAGTTACATACGATTTTCCATGTTTATTTTTTGATTTGCACGATAATTACTAACCTAAATGTAATGCTATTTGGTATGGTTGGAAAGCATTTTTTCAGAGCTTTCCAATGACGTATCACACATGGGGAGTCCCTATTTGAGATTTAAAAGTTGGGGTGGCTAGGGCGCAGGGAGTGTGAGGGGGTGCGTCGCCAACTATGTCATTGTGATTCCCTCTCCGAATTACCGAAACGGATTTTGATTTTTTTAAATATCTCGTTTATTTACTAAGATATGGGGGGTGGTAAGTTTTCAAATTGTCACCCTGTATATTCATTAAATTTAGGATATATTTTTCATGTAGGATTCGAAACTTGACATTAATTCACTGTGGAAACATCGCTTCTTCATCGATAATAATTGGGTAAGCTAAGCGACGGATCATGTAGGTACCTTCAAAATTCGTGGGCTGATGGAAAAACTTAATCGAATTCTCAAGTAATTTCTCGGAATGTAGTTGCTTTTCTAGTAGCTATATTCTTGTATTATAGAAGTTGCGAGCAAACCATACTAATTTCAATTAATACAACCGTTTAGGATTAATTATTTTGATCCACAATTTGACACTTTATTATATTGTTGGGAGTAGGATAGAGCTCGCACTAAGTAATAATTCGCACTAGAACTTGATTTATTGGTTTGTTTTGAAGGGGAATGAACATGATTTTCAACATTTAAGTTTGTGCAACGGAAAGCTTTTGTTCAACATTAATTATTCGACACTTCCTTTGCATTTTTCCGCGATAATCCGTATTTTTGCAACAATTAGCGAAACTCGCGGTTTTAAATTTTTCGTTTTCAAACATAAACATTAGGTAAAACTCTCAAGCTGCGATATTTATTTCTCGCAACTCTCAACAAATTAGGAAACAAGACCCAAGACGAATTTATAAAGTTTCCAAATGTCAGTGTTGTGTTTAATTACGCTGCTAACTTAAAATTTATCAACGTAAAAGGTGTTACCATGGTACAATAACCATGGTACAATAAGACAAGGTATGCTTATGCGTGACGTCATTGGGATAACTGGGCTCTACCCTTCGACCATTTAAACCCTCTACCGTTCAATAAAGTAATGGGGTTTGTGTAGTCCTACCAGTTAATAAAAGTGTATCCCCTTTACGGACGTGATAAGATTTGTTCAATCCATTTCAACTGCGCCAAGTTTCTCACATTAAACTTACAAAGTATCAATTATTGCATGTTATCAATACAAATATTTAAAGTTACAATAAAATATGTAAGTAAAAAAAGTAAAAATTATATTAGCGTTTTCAAATAAGGACGAGACCTCTAGCGGCAATAAATAAAACTTAAAAGGCTGATTAAATTTCTGAAATAAGTATATTAAGTGGTACCAGCAATAAAGAGTTCATCTTGTCCAGTGCAATATGTTGCAACTATAATTACAAATTATAAATGGAGTTTCAAAAAGCATCTCTTAATGCACAAAAGTTCCAAGGACTTAAAGTGTGTCCAGTGTGACTATGCAACTATAAATGCAGTTTAAAAAAGCATATGTTAATACACACAAGAATTCCAGGTTTGTACAATGTGCATTGTGGGATTTTACAATCAATTATAAATCCAGTTTCAAAATCCACTTTTGGTGAAGCATAAAACTTACAGAGATGCAAAACAAGACATCAAATGTGCCTACAGTATAATTAGGCACTTGTGCACATATGAATACAAAATGCGTGTACTGCGTAGCCAATGTAATATTGTAGCCAATATTGGAGCACATCTATTACACATGACACTTCCGAGGATTGCCACCAAAGTTATTTATCCATCATTATTACACACTAATTGAGTAATTGCAATGGCACTTCTAATTCAAGTATGAAGCGTATGTCATTTTCAAACTTGGCGGTGATTCTTGTGACGTCATTGGGATAAAACGTCATCTGCGTTTAGTTATAGGTGTTACGGTTAAAGTATTTACTTGGCTGGTATATAAACTAGTTGGATAGTATACAAACTATCCAACTGCCTGGTTATTTTGATGAAAAATCATATTTTCACTAAAATAGCTACGAGTAATGGCTGGTTTGTATACTATCCAGCTAGTTTATAAACTATACAAAATTTATCGCTAAAACACAAACCACAAGGAAATTACACAAATTAACTAGCATTTTTGGCTAATTTGTAAACTATCCACATTAGTTGGATAAAGTGTGAACCTGATATTGGTAGTAATACATAATAACCAACGAGTTGGTTATTTTGTAAACCAACCAACGCGAGTTGGTTATTATGTAAACCAACCAATTCTCTTTGGGTAATTTAGTGGGGTTATGTTTCGTCAAGTGTTGTGTGCTGTGACGGTGTACAGTTGTGTTTCGTGAAATTTGTTTAATAATAGGTATCGGGTTATTAAAAATGAATCAACAGCAACAATTTGAAAACCTATTATTAGAAGTTTATGACCAAAAGTCGCAAAATTCAAAATTAATGAATGATAGCGATTATAGTGAACTTTTGCAACGTATCAAAAGAATACGCGAAACTGGACCTGACAGTAGTAACAAGAGTGATTATCATGTGATAAATACTTATGATTTACAAAGAATCGAATCATCTTATGTAATTCTACATAGAAGATCTGGAAAGATTATTTTACGTTTGAGTGAATGTTATGATGCGACTAAAGCTGCCCATCAGGGAACTGGACATGGAGGGCGTCAAGCAACAACAAACGAAAAGTATCACAACTTAACACAGGAAATGGTAAAATTGTTCATTGAAACTTGTGAAAATTGTCAGCTTAAACGGAACAAAACTAAAAAGGGAATTGTTGTTAAACCAATTGTTTCAAACCATTTAAACTCTCGATGCCAAATCGATCTCATTGACTTACAAACTAGACCAGATGGTGACTACAAATTTATTTTTGTCTACCAAGACCACCTAACCAAATACGTCAGGTTGAGAGCGCTAAAAACAATGAAAACTAAAGAAGTAGCTGAGCACCTATTAGAAGTATTTGCAGACTTAGGAATCCCTTGCGTGTTGCAGAGCGACAATGGCCGAGAATTTGCAAACCAGGTGGGTATTAGGGTAAAAGGCACGCTAGAAAGGACATGGCACTTTTTATGGGCATTTTGGCCTCCTGTATTTTTGATATGTTGTAGCTGACATCAAAAGATCTTTTTCCTTTGCGCTAAAGCCCTAGCTCTACTGGGTGTACCGGAAAAATGGGCCCAAAGTTGAGATTTTGAATTTGAAGTGCCATGTCCTTTATTTCAAATTCCCTAAATGTTGCTGCTATAGATGAAATAAAACAAAATCAATACATTTTGATTTTTTTAGGTGATTGAGGAATTAGTCGGAATGTGGCCTGACTGCCATATTGTGCATGGTAAACCGAGACATTCACAATCACAAGGTTCAGTGGAGAGGGCGAACCAAGATATAGAGAACAAGTTAGCGTCGTGGATGAAAGATAATAACTCGACAAAATGGAGCGAAGGTTTAAAAATCGTTCAATTTCAAAAAAATCGGTGAGTAAGCTAGTATTTTGAAATTTAAGAAAAGAAACTGTGTTTTTCTTTGTATAAGTTACGTTTTACTTCAGTTCATTGTTTTTTGTAGCTGCTTTCATTCTGGTATTGGACGCAGTCCTTATGAAGCTTTATATGGTGTAAAATGTAGAGATGGTTTAAATAACCTCCCTGTTTCTATCACAAACATTAAATCCATACGTACAGAAGAGGAACTGGAAACATTATTATCTTCTAGTAATGACACCGAGGATAAAGTGGAAGAAGATTCACATCCTTCAAATAATTTTGTACCCGATGAAAAATCTACAGTCACTGAAGAGGAAATGGCCGCCCAACAATTGTCTGGTACGTATCTAGAAAGTATCCCGTGCGGTTAGGCACCCATCGGGCGCGTCCCCAGGTGGCGGATAGGGGAACGCCCACGCAAGCCCTGAATGATCGTAAGGTGACAAGTGTCTTTGTGTGGGTAGTAGCGATTATAAGTTGCTCGTCGGGGCTGAAACCCAGACTGGCAGCAACGAAGGTCGCTACCGCGGACCAACCTCCCAAGTCAAGGTGTTAGCTACCGTGCTGAGGACTGCGTGACACTGGGGTGCAGTGTCGATAACGGTGCCCCTCGGATACCGGGCGACCTCCGAGTGGTATTGTAGCCAAGCCCTGCGCAAGCGGCTCTGCGCAGGTGATACCGCTCTTCCGCATTACTCGTGGGAACAATATGGATACAAAACAAAAACATAATTTTCCTTTACAGGGCTCCTCGTCAGGGGGGACCAATGAA